GGCAAGGGCGCGTCGATGAGGGGGCGGAGGGGTATGCCGATGGAAAATGGACGGGGAGGGCGCGGAGGGCGAGGACGAGGAGGAGGAGGGGGAACATGTGGAGTGTGACCGAAGTAAGCCCAGGATGCATCAACGACGTTGCAATCTACCCTTCCGCCCCAAGTATCCTCCTCGTGAGACCATCCCCGCTTTCTTCTCCAACGCAGCCAGCGCCAGCTTGAAAGACGAGCGCCAGATGCGTCTGCCATTTCGGGCGAGCATCGCGTTTTGAAAATGCACTGCCTCTCGAAGGCCCCGTCGCGTGCAGAAAGCCGACCTGGTCTTTCGAACTTTTGCGCAATCGTGCACGTACGGGCAGCAATTGTCAGGATGTCCCAAACGATGCCACGTGCATGATTGACTCGCTGCTCATAAGAATGATTGTCTGGTTGTTCATATATGCGCGGCCGTGTTTTCTCCGACGGCACGTGTTTCACGGGGCCACGGCTTCTCCCACCGGGTCTTAGATGGGCCCGGGCGGCTGTCCGCACTGGTGGTTCTTTCGTTCGCTCGCTCAAGCGAGAGCCCCGCGGTGGAAGGGAAGCGCCCTCCATTCGTGCAGCGTTTACAGTATATTTCAAGGCAGTGGTCTTTCAATTGGGGGAAGTTTCAGAAGGGACCACATGTTGAAAAGGAACCGCGCCTCACCTCTGTAGCTGTCTTAAACGGTAGAAGACGCATGCTGTCGACGCTAACGCAAGAGCTGCATCCTTGGGTATTTTGACAATCGTGAAGATGAGGGCGCGGCACTCACGCGAGAACGGCATTGCGAAAACTCGCGCTTCCATCCTGAAAGCATTTGTTGATTTTCAAGACGATGGGGCGCGGCACTTGCAAAACACCCGCCCTTCATCCTTGAAATTGTTGCACGTTTTTTGAACGAATGCGCGCGACGCTCAGGCGAGAGCCGCGGTCTCTCCCCGCACTCCATCCTTGGAGTTGTCGGAGCTTTTTAGCCTTAGGATAGCAGCTCGTTAGGAAGTCCCGGGCGAACTGCCCGGCCCAACCTACGTCTGGTGCTGCGGTAGGGGTCAATCATAAAGAAGAGGGACGGAGAAGAGGAGGACAGGGGGGAGAGAGGCTAGTGGAACAGAGAAAGGGAGGGAGGGAGGGAGAGGGAGGGAGGGAGGGCGAAAAAGAGAGAGACAGAGAGAGAGGGAGGCAGGGAGGGAGGGGGGCAGGGAGGGAGGGGGGTGAGAGAGAGAGAGAGAGGAGAGAGAGAGAGAGAGAGAGGGAGCAGGAGGGAGGGGGGGTTGGAGGAGGATGGGAAGGAAGGGAAGGAGGGAGGGAGGGAGGGAGGGAGGGAGGGGAGGGGGGAGGGAGGGAGGGGAGGAGCAGCAGGAGGAGGAGGAGGAGGAGGAGAGGAGGAGGAGGAGCCGGAGCAGGAGCAGGAGCAGGAGCAGGTGAGAGGAGGAGGAGGAGGAAGGAGGAGGAGGAGGAGGACCAGGAGAAGAACCAGGAGGAGGATCAGGAGGAGGACCAGGAGGAGGACCAGGAGGAGGCGGAGGAGGAGGAGGAGGAGGAGGAGGAGCAGGAGCAGGAGCAGGAGCAGGAGCAGGAGCAGGAGGAGGAGGAGGAGGAGGAGGAGGAGGAGGAGGAGGAGGAGGAGGTGGGGAAAGCAGGTGGTACGGAGGGGAATGGGGCAGGAGGAGTGGCCCCGAGAGGGAGTGGCAGGGGAGACGAGCAAGGGGGACGCAGGGGCGGATGCCGCGGCGGGGAGCGCGGGGGCGAAGGCAGAGGATGGCGGAGGGCGCGGCGAGGGCGAAGCCGCAGGCGGAAGCGGCGAGGCCAGAGGCCACCCCCGCGACAACGACGACAACTACGACCACCACGATGACCAGGACGACGACGAGGACGACGACGACGACGACGACGACGACGACGACGACGACCGACGACCGACGACCGACGACCGACGACCGACGACCGACGACCGACGACCGACGACCGACGACCACGACGACCACGACGACCACGACGACCACGACGACCACGACGACCACGACGACCACGACGACCACGACGACCACGACGACCACGACGACCACGACGACCACGACGGCGACGGCCGCAGCGACGCCGACGGCGACCACGCCAGCGTCGCGGAGGCAGCGCGGCAGACCGCAGCCGGGTTCGCCGACGCCAGTGGAGCTGGCCGTGCCGGCTGCGCTGCCGTCGCCGACGTCGCCGGCGGTCGCCGGAGGCGCGGCGGAGGCCTGGCGGGGGGGCGTGGCCGGAAGGAGTGGCGAGGCGTCCCGGGAGACAGTCGACCCGTACAGTAAGGATGCGCGGTAATGATGCACGGGCCTTGGAGGGCCAGGCCACGGATGGACCGAGGAGGTAAGGATGCAAGGGTACCTTTGGTAAGGTTGCCCATCCTTACTATGCGGTTTGATTGTACATACCTGTCCCTGAGATCCTGGCGCTGTAAATTTTTCGCAGCGGGCGTTTTCGCCCGGTCTCGGGCCTGGCGGGGGGCGTTGCTGGAAGCAGTGGCGAGTCGTTTGGGGATATTGTTAACCCGCATAGTGAGGATGGGAAACCTTCCCAGGGGTACCCTAGGGTACCCTTGCATCCTTGCCTCCTCGGTGCGTTCTTGGCCACCGTTGGCCGCGCCCCGTTCGAGAAGCTTCGGAATGGGCGTCCAAGGCCCTTGCATCCTTATGGCGCATGCTTATGATACGGCCCGACTGTACATACCTGTCCCTGAGATCCTGGCGCTGCAATTTTTTCACTGCGGGCGCCTTCGCCCGGTTTCAGACCTCGGGACCCTCACAGATCGATGCGGCTGGAAAAAATGGCGCGGGAGGATGGGGTCTAGAGAAGGAGGAGGAGGAGGAGGAGGAGGAGAAGAAGGAGGAGGAGGAGGAGGAAGAGAGAGGAGAGAGGGAGGAGGAGGAGGAGGACCACTGAGGAGAGGGGGAGGAGGCGAGGGGAGGAGGGGAGGACGAGGAGGAGGAGGAGGAGGAGGAAAAGGAGGAGGAGGAGGAGGACGAAGAGGAGGACGAGGACGAGGAGGAGAGGAGGAGGAGGAGGAGAGGAGAGGAGGAGGAGGAGAGAGGAGGAGGGGGAGGAGGAGGAGGTGAGGAGGAGGAGGAGGAGGAGGGAGGAGGAGAGGAGGAGGAGGAGGAGGAGGAGGAGGAGGGGAGGAGGAGGAGGAGGAGGAGGAGGGAGGAGGAGGAGGAGAGAGGAGGAGAAGGAGGGGGAGGAGGAGGAGGAGGCGTAGGAGGAGGAGGGGGGAGGAGGAGGAGGATGAGGAGGAGGAGAGGAGGATGAGGAGGAGAGAGGAGGAGGAGGAGGAGGAGGAGGAGGAGGAGGAGGAGGAGGAGGAGGAGGAGGAAGAGGTGGGGAGGAGGACGAGGAGGAGGAGGACCAGGAGGAAAGGAGGAATGAGGAGGGGGATGAGGGATGAGGAGGAGTGAGGAGGAGGAGGAGGTGGAGAGGAGGAGGAGGGAGGAGGAGAGGAGGAGGAGGAGGAGGGAGAGAGGAGAGGAGAGGAGAGAGAGGAGAGGAAGAGAGAGGAGAGGAGAGGAGAGGAGAGGAGAGGAGAGGAGGAGAGGAAGGAGAGGAGGAGGAGGAGAGGAGGGAGGAGGAGGACGAGGAGAGGAGGACGAGGAGGACGAGGAAAACGAGGAGGATGAGGGACGAGGAGGATGAGGAGTGGAATGAGGAGGAATGAGGAGGGAGGAGGAGGAGGAGGAGGAGGCGGAGGAGGAGAGGAGGAGGGTGGAGGTGGAGGAGGAGGAGGAGGAGGAGGAGGGAGGAGGACGACGAGGACGAGGATGAGGAAGAGGAGGAGGAGGAGGAGGAGGAGGAGGAGGAGGAGGAGTGAGAAGGAATGAGGAGGAATGAGGACGGAAAGGAGGAGGAGAAGGAGGAGGAGGAGGATGTAGAGGAAGAGGAGGATGTAGAGGAGGAGGAGGAGGAGGAGAAGGAGGAGGAGGAGGTTCATCTCTCCCCTCCTTCCCGCGCCCTTCCCCGAGGAGGAGGCCCTCGCCATGCCGGCGCCGAAGAAGCCAGTGCCGCGCCGGGCAGCGGACGGGCACCGCGCACGGGGATCGGGGCGCAGGGGCGACGACAGCCCTCCTCCTCCTTCTCCACGTCCTCCTCCTCCTCAGCCGTTCTGGCTCAGGCTGTTCCTGAGCTTGGCGAGGCATGCTTCAGAGCGGCCTGCCTCGTCGGGCCAAAGTTCCCGCGTTCGCGAATCTTCCCCTCTCCAGTTTGCCCGCATGGTTGGCGATGGATCCGTGCTAAGAGGCCCACGACAGCCTCTGTGGTCTGCTTGCAGTGTTCTCGTACTGCGACTTGGGCTTGTCGTATTAAAGTGTCTTTGCGGTGCTGCAGCTCCTGGCCGTGTGGTTCAAGCAGCACGCAAAGCTGACAAGGAGTGGGGACAGCGGCCAACCCCATCTACCACGAGACCGCCAAAGGGAGTGTGGGCCAACGGCCCGTCCACGCCCGACCTGGTCGCTACCATCACGGCGGCTATCGAGAAGAAGCTTGATCAGAAACTCAAGTCTCTCAAGGACCCGAAGAGTGGCAATGCTGCGGGCTTCGAACCCACGACAGCTGATGATGGTGGCTCTAGCACTCCTGGTGGTGAGCAGGAGCAGCGAGGCGCCCGTATCGAGTCCCTTGAGATCTCAAGCAGCTTGGCGATGTCGGCTCCGATGATCCAGCCAAGCAATGCCTTGAAGTTCAACTTCGTGACGCACGCAAGGTTCAACGTGAAGCTAAACCAATCTTGCAGCAGCGCACCAACGTGGCTTTCAGGCTACAGACGGCTCAACGCAAGCAGACCAAGGCTGCTGAGGCTGTGCTGTTTCAGAAGAAGCTCACCGAGGCGGCTCAGCAGTCGCTTCTCGACCTGTAGGAGAAGGAGGCAGCCGTCCAACGCGAGGTGGCGGCTTTGGAGGAGGAGCTGCGCCGCGCGATGCCAGCGGGGGCGGCTCCTCAGGCTAAGGAGATCAAGTTTGAGATTCCATCAGCGATCCTGGATGACGAGTCGAGAGCTGATGTTAAGCAGCTTTTGGCCAGCTCGGCCGTTGCCAAGTTCCAGGGGCTATACAAAAAGGCTGCCCCCTCCCCTTCCACGTTTTCTGGGGGGGGAGCTGGAGGAGGTGGGAGTGACCACGGGGAGGGCGACGCAGCAGGCAGGATGTTGAGATGCCGCAGGCGCCGCAGTTTGATGGATTCTCTCCCGAGGATATCGAGACTCTCTTTAAGCATGCGAATGATAAGCGTGCATTCGAGCAGCAGTTGGAGGCTCTGGGAGTCAAGCGTCCGCGCACATCGTCTTCCTGACCTCTCATACTCGACTGGCCTCCCTGTCTCTGATATGGGCCATGTCGTTCCACAGCATACAGGGTTCCAAGTCGTATTCTGCCGCGGATTCTGGCTCACAGTTCTTTGGGGCCCTTCAATGGAAATTGTCTCGCCACTCTTCTTGAACGCTTACGATGTTCTGATTCACTGTTTGTTTGTGCGCAGGAGATAGGCACAGGTCTTGATGCCGCACCTGATCGCCAGCGCGCTGCTCGTACTCTGGGTTTCCGTTCTCTCTGCAGTTCGTCTCGATGTTCTGCACATGGCCCCCATTCTGCTGGAGTCGCCACCTTTGTTCGACAGCATCTTGGACTGCGGTGGAATCCCACAGGTGGTGAGCTAGTGAAAGGCCGATGTATTTCAGCAGTTGTTGATCTTCCAGGTTGGCCCGGGTTGGTTGTATATGTTGCATACTTTCACGAGAGTGTCGGGTTGGACTCAGACAGTATGCAGTTGCTGTCTGTTCTTGGTGCTTGCATCAGTCGATTTGCAGGTTCCTTCGTGGTGGTAGCGGACTGGAATGTGGAGCCGGAGGTCATTGAGCGGAGTGGGTTCATGCGCGAGGCAGGCCTCATCGCGATTGCTCCTGTGCGGCGCGCATGCATCATGTCCGCGTCGGCTAGCACTATTGATTTCTTTCTGGCATCTCACGACATCGTCCGAGTGGTTGAGAAGGTTCGTGTTTTCTTTCAGTGGCATGGTGGACCTCGCAAGCCTGTGCGACTCCATCTTCGAGCTGATGCAGTCAAGTTGCGACAATTGGTCTACTGTGCTCACTCTTGTTTCCTTGTGCTTCCTCCGTTCGGCCCACGACCTGAACTGCGCGGCATTGCGGCGGCCCGGCAGATGGCGGACGAGGCAGCGCTTTCAGCAGAGTTTGATTCAGTCGGCAAGGCCCGGGCAAGACTCAACCGGGCATTGGCCGTATTCCTAGAGGACGCTGAGATTGAGATTGCGGGCGCCCTCGACTTTCCGATCAAGAACCTCGCCCGCCACGATCATCTTGCTCGACGGTGGGTCCCAGTTCATGGGCGCGAAGACCACGCGCGGGCCCCGATGCTTATATCGCGTGGTTGGCAGTGGCTCTACCGTGCGTGGCACGAATTTGAATTGATGGTGAAGCAGAGCGCGGAGCTTCACAATAACCTTGCGGCGACTTCACATAAGCGAACGTGTCTTGCGGAGAACTACTCTGGTGAAGGCCTAGATGTTCGACTCGACTCGCAGGTCGCCGCGCTGCGCTCGCATGTGCGCGAGTGCCCCGAAGTGCATCTATGGTTGGTGGCCTCTTGCAACGCAGTTTTGTGATCAGTTATCGATTGAATTTGAAGCAGCCACGAAAGAGTCTGTGAAGCTACGTCAGCAGCCCTGGAACGAATGGCGCGACAGTGCGCTGAAAAGGCTCTGCCAAGCTAATGCACAAGATAACTCGTTTGCAGAAGATGTGGTGTCCGACAGTGGTGGGAAAGGCTCCTGGCATTTTTCCAGCGGCCCCGAGGTGGCACACAATCCGGATGTAGAGGCACTGCAGCAGAAGTGGAACGCGTCTTTCTCACTTCCCCGCGCTGAGATACCTGATCGTGAGTGCCTACCTCGAGCCGCTGCTGATGAGCTGCGGAGCGCATGTCGTACGCGTTGCCCCTTTACGTCTTCCGCGCTCAATGGCTTTCACCCGCGACATGTATCTCTTTTGGGCGATGCTGCTTTGGACGCGCTCAGTGTGCTATTTGAAGCAGTTGAACGATTAGGGCTCTTTCCTCGACACTTTCTATGGATGGTCTTTCCACTTTTCGAGAAGCAAACAGGCGGGCATCGTGCCATTCTTCTGTTTGCTAGCTTCGTTCGTGTATGGGACTGGCTTCGCCGACCCTTGCTGGGTCCTTTCTGTGCAGCCACGGAGAGGGCCTGCTAGGCCTTCGGGTCAGGGAAGAGTGCTGATTCCTGCGTTTGGGCCTAGTCGGCCCTTGGTGAGATTGCTGCTACTGACGATAAGGTGGTCCTGGGAGTCCAGCGGGACGGGAAGCAACGCTACGAATCATTTCGTCTGGAGCTTCTGCGTGACCGAGCTCTACGGTGGGGTATTCCTGGGGCGATAGTAAAAACGTCGTTCAATCTCTTGTGCGCTCCGAGGCTGATCAGGTTGGGGCCTGCCTGTCATCCAGTCGCACTTGGCGCAGAGAGCGGCTTACCTGCTGGAGATATGATTAGCGATGCTTTTGTAAAAGTCTACGCCATCGGTGCCTTCGACGGTTTCACGGCTCGCTTTCCCCACCCCATTCGGTTTTCATCATATGGCGACGACGGCGCGATCATGGCTATTGGAGATGCGGCGTTACTGCTTAAGCTAGTTCCTGCCGCTGCCGAACATTTCACCAGACGTTTAGACATCAGCATAGAGCGGCTAGATCGGAAACGAAAGCTATCGCGATTGCGAGTTCACCAGCTCTAACTAGAGCCTTAGCTCATCAGCTCCAGCTTCGAGGACTCCCAGCTGGCGCAAAAACGCACTCGTCCGTGAATCTCGGGGTCGACTTTACGCCTGCCCAGGTTAGGATGACCACCTTCGTAAAAGGGAGCGGTTTCGACAGTTTCGGCTTCGACACTTTCGGGTTCTTCGCTTCCGCAAGTGGCTTTCTCGCGGCAAGCGTCGAATTGCAGTGGTCCACCAGGCTGGTTTGAAGCCAGCTCTTGCGCATGGCAGCATTGTGCTTGGCATTTCTGACTATGAGTTGCAGCGGGCTCGAGCTGCGCTATTCAGTTTTCGCCTCCCATCGCATGGAGGTGGATCATTGTTGTTAAGGATTGTGCTCCATGGCGACCCTACGGCTGACGTCAGCGTCGCCCCTGCAGTTGCCCGGGCTGCGGCAGCGCGGCAGGCCCCGGTTGCGCCGGAGCGCGCTCTCCTCAGCACTCGCGAGCTCCATCAGATGTTTCAGATTGCGAAGGAGAGAGTGGAGCCACACCGCAGATGGAGGCACGCCAGAGGACCCATATCTCGAATGCTCCTTTCTCTCCAACGCGTCGGCTGGCCCACTAAGAACTTCTCTCTGGGGGGATGACGCGGGGGCGGAGATATCGCTCATGCACACGGCGCCTAGTATGTTCAAGGAGTTGCTTCGCGACGCAGCACAGCGTAGGCATGAGCAAGACGTGGCACGTAATCTTGACAACTTTGAGCATGCACGCTTGCGCTCAGACATTGCGCGCAGCATTGCGCGCAGGTTTAAGAAGTAGACGCCTAGGCAGAAGTGCGATGTAGCCAGTTGTTTTGGCAAAGCTGCGCTCACATGTGATGGGTTGCGCACGGGCGAAGGCCTCTGCCCACTGCGTGGGGGGCAAGGTCGTTTTTTTTTGGTTTCACAGGCTGCGGGCGTGCCCTAGTCCCGAGGTTGACGAGGCCCGAGGAGAGGCAGCCGCCCCAGAGCTGGCGCGGGAAGTTTTGCAGGCCGGTCCCAATAATGTGTTTTGGACTCGTCTCATCTCATTTCCCTCTCCTCCATTTTCCAACCCCCGCTGACATGATATACTCAGAGTTTCAAGATGCGCAATGCAATGTCTTGACTGGTTTTACGTGTATCGTGGGAGCAAGAGGTGTCGTCGTCGATGGGTCGTGCACCAGACCACCGACGCACGAGCTTGCACGCGCATCGTTCGCTGGAGCCTTCCTCGAGCCTGACTCGGAGGAGGTCGCGGCGAGGTTCCGTGGGCCTGTTTGGC